GGCGGCAGTAGCTCAGTCTGTAAGGACTTGGGTTGGGAACTGTAGGGTTCAAGTGGACTGAAGTATGGATGGGGGTCTGGTTGCTGGAGAGGTGCGAGGTCACTTCCCAAGTGCTGCCAAGGTGTCCTTGAGCCCTACGTGTAGAAAATTGGGAGTAATTGGGGCAGCAGTAGCTCAGTCTGCAGGGGTTGGGAATCGGAGGGTCGCCGGTTCAAGTCCCTGCACGGACCAAGTCCGGATTGGTCTGGTACCTGGAGAGGTGCCAGTCCACCTCTGAGCTCTGCCGATGTGCCCTTGAGCAAGGCACCGAACCCCAAAAAACACTCTGGAGCGCTCGCTGTGGGCAGCCCCCCTCACTCTGAGACTTCTCCATTAATACATGTCCACAGGATCCTGTTTGTGCATGTGTGTGTATTTCTGTATGTGTGTGTGTAGCATGTTCATTAAACAGAGTGTTAAAACTGAATTTCCCCTCGTGGGATTAATAAAGGATACATTATTATTATCATTAGTATTCACCTTCAAACACTTTCGGACCTGACTTTTTCAGGAAACATGATTTTTTTTTTTGAAAGAGCAATAGACTGTAACTTTTTTGTGGAGTGTTGTGTGTTTTTTACGAGACAATGATCCAATCTGTGAGCGCTCAACACATCCTCAGTCAGAAAAACACTCACACATGTTACACAAAGGACTCTGTAAAGACACAATGAGCTCATCACAGAGACAGAGAGCTGCTCTACAAACAAATCATCGCCCAGCTCAGTAGAGATGTGATTTATTTATTTTTTTCCCACATCAAACCTCCCACTCTCTCTCTCCCACTCCACTCCTCTCCGCACGCCGCCGCTGCTGCTGCTGCTGCTTTTTGCCGCTCGAGTGACAAATTGCGAGCGACGGTGAGCTTTCACTCCGAGCACAAACGGCTGGTAATTGTATGTAAAAAATGGCAACAGGAATCACAATTGCAACTCATCCGCAGGTTGACGACACCGCTGGAGTCTTCTCCTCTAAATGCTTCATTAGCCGCTGCCTCTGAATGCCTTTCTATGAATGAGAGAGGCTGAAAGCTCTTCCACCAGCCGCCCACCTGCTTCCTGCGCACCTTCAGGGCAAACCCTCAATCGCTCTTGTGATGCATCCGAACACACAAGCATCAGGCTTCATTCATAAATCTAGCTATTTGAAGTAAAAAAAAAACAACACAGATGTGAGGGAGTCCTGGTTTGCAAAAATATAAAAAATTCAGCACCCAAACAGCACCATGCTGCGCGAGTAGGACGGGGGGGGTTGCAGGCGTGCGGAAGTGCAAGATCTGTGCAGTAAAACAGAGGTGTAAGAGCTGAGGGTGAGGAGCAGTGATAGCTCTGTGATTAGCACCTGTCCCTTGAGTGCTGTCCTGTTGTCCTTTCCTCCCAGGTAAGGGAAGACGGGAAAAAAAAGAACGGAGAGATAACTGAGGAGATGCAGGCTGATTTTTTTAAGGTTTGGATATTCTTCAGGGGCCCCCTAATGTGAGACATCAATCAAAGATGTTTCAACAAGCTGCGTGGCCACTTTTCTTCGGTGCTCATTAAGAGAAGACACCAGCTGGGAGCCGGCAGGAATGCATGATGGTTCATTATAATATTTACACAGTTTTGCCCTCATTCATCACGGAGGATAACGTGCTTTGCAGAGCCCCATCAGCCTTAGGTGTTAATATAAGTGCGAGCCGGGCGAGCAGCACACAGAAGCTCATTTCCCCTCACAGTATTAAAGGTCCTGAAGCGAGACCGCTTTGCTTCTTACAGGAATTTCTACAGTTGGTTTCGACCCATCGCCTAAACTGCAGGTGTAAGGTGATTTTGGAGACGCAATCAAATGACAGACTTGGATCCAGTCAACTGTGCATCCTGCTTTTGATACTAAGACATGGGGATAAGAATCCAACGTAGGCTCTTTGAAATCCCCCAGTGGTTTGTTGATTGGCATCTTGAAGCATCAAGTTTGGCACGTGTGCGCTTTCCCATAATATCGTAAACTCAAATGACTACCGAGGGAAATAAGAGGTGTTCATGATGAGCTTCCATCATAAGGTCCTCACTTCTATAATTCCATTTCCTGTGCCATTTCATGTTCTCCTGGTGGAGATCAATGACAGTCCATGAAGTCTCTCTTGTTTCACTGAAACCCAACAATGGAGGTAGCTGAAAACAAACTGTGTTCTCATGAGGCGGCTGAACCGGTGTTTCTGTTTAAAGAGAGATTAATTAATTCAACCAAGATGAAGAACGGGACACAGTAAACAAAAAGGGATTCTTTAGGGTCGGATCAGTACCCTTGGCACCCCAACAGAAGGGTACCAAAAACTTAGGACGGTAGATAGATAGATAGATAGATAGATAGATAGATAGATAGATACTTACCAGAGGGAAATTCAAAGCATCCAGTAGCAGGTTACAAAGACATGACATGAAACATTTGTTACAAATTAACGACAAAACCGCCCCCCCTCCCATACATATATATTAACCTGAAAAAAAGCTTTAAAGAATACCCCTAGATGAATCAAACTTAAAACTGTGCAATTAAAAATAGACTTATACAAGAAATGTACATAACCCGAGCAGGGATAAAAAATATATGTTACATTTAAACAAGAACCTATAAACAGTTGAGGAAAAAAATCTGTAATTAGACCTGAATTAAAAAAAAAAAAAAGGTGTATGGAGCCGTTATTTTGGTACCATTCCCAATTTCTGGCTGTGAAAATGCCGATATTGTGTACCGTACCGAACTGAACAGGTCCGCTTGGTGGAAACGGGGCTTTAGAAAGAGATTTGAGGGACGTCCATTGGCTTTATCTTCAGAACCAGCAGATACAGTTTTACTCATTCAACTGAAAGGAGAACTCAATCTTTCATTGTTTTTGTCTTTTCCTTTGGCTGATGATTGCCTAGTCTGTTCAAAACCATGCTTTTATTGTATCTTTTGTGACTGAGGCCAACGTGTTGAGTTGTTTTGACTTCTGGAGTTCTGCCCATCCAGTTTATGTGATTAAAAATGTTTGAAATGTTCACTTCTCGAGTCACTTTTGGATTCAGTGAACTGCCGCCACTAAGGCCGAGGGGATGTGTTTACATTTGCTCAGTCATGTGGATTTGATTTTGACTTAAGGTCATGTCTGGAAAACGTTCTGTTCTGTTTATTTGCAGTTCCAAAGTACGTCCATCTGGTATGATCCATCCGCACAGACTGTCAATTAAGACGGCTCTTTAACGAGCTGGATTTTCGAGGGGAGATTTCAAACCTTTTTCTGCCGAATGGGACGGAAAAGAGATGTCTTTATGAGCAGAAATGATGCATGTGGCTTTTCTTTTCTCTCCCTTATCGTCATGATGTGAGCTTTAATATGCTGTGTGGCTCCGGCACTATCAGATCAGATGTGGCCCGGGCGAGTGGAGCCTTCATGGGGGGAGGAGGAGGAGGAGGGGGTATGCAGTCTGCATCATATTCTTCCCATTCCTCTCCACTTTCAGACAACAGGCCGCGGTGAAATGACTGTGGATGCCGCCAACTGTGAAATTAATTGAACTTGTGATACGCGGGGTAGAGACCAGCATCCGGCCCGAGGAGGCGACTGTGCATCCGATCTTACATTAGCTCACGACGAAAGGGAACAGCCAAGCCCATGGGCGCTCACCGAGATCTGTGGTTAGTTTCCCTCGACAAGATGTCTCTGGACGCGGCTGAGCTTTACTCGACTTGCGTGACTTTGCTCTCAGTGTATGAGGCGTGCTGTTGGCTCTTGTTGGAGGCATTATTTGGAAAGGGAATGGGATCTGTTCATAGATCCGGTCTTGTAGAGCTGATGATGGATCAGTAGATAATGATTCTTGTGTCCACACATTTTTCTAGCCCAAGGGTTAAGCCTAGTCAACAAGATCCAGAAGGGGTCAATTAACCACAAACCTATAAATCCCTTGAAACAAATATACCTTTTAAGTAAGAATGAATTTTACACATAAATACAGCAGAAATCAAGTATTTGCTTTAGTCAAGGCTTATTTGGATGTCATGTAAGCGTTGTTATATCGCGGTCATTCCTTGTATCACAAACAAGCAGAACTAGCAACAACTTGAATAATACAGTATAAGAAGCTATAGAATTTTAAAATGTAAAATATAAATATATATATATATATATATATATATATAGAAAGTTGCACATTCCTCCTTTAGAGTTGTATGCAAGTGAACCTGAAATCTGAAAACCTTGAATTCATCCTTATCTTGAAAAACATGATCAGATTTTGCAATGAAGCTCAGCATCTCTTCGCTATAAATCCTTTTTATTAAATCCTCCTTAGGGGCAGGTTTAACTCCAGATTAATGCACTTTGTCTGCAGGGTCAACATGAATTATTTGCACTCTTTTAATGAAGACCACACAAAAAAAACCACACAACCAGCGAGAGAGGAACATATGCAGGAGCGTTAAAGCACCTGATGAATCCAGACAGTTTCAAACACAAGGGAGGAAAACATAGTGGAGATAAATTCACTGCTGGAGTGCAAATGTAATATTACTCCTAATTCCACCAAATTATTGCCTTTTTTATGACGCGTTCAAGTTCTTATAAGTTGCCTCTGGCCGACAGCTGCGTGCATGTTCTCGAATAAAAGTGGAGGAATTTATCTTGTTTAATTTAGTTCAAGACTCCAGAGAGTTAAAAGCAAAGAATACAAATGTAAGATGTTTTTCTAAAGGCAATTACACTTCTCGAAGATTAACTTTTTCGAGTCAGGAGTTTACTATTTAAGCCTGATTTAATTTGCTCCAAATACCAGTCATGGCAAAAGGGTAATGTTGATCATTAAAATCATGACAGACATGCAGGGTAAGCAACATCTGCATCACTGATTCAAACTGTCATCCATGAGCGTGATGAAATGTAATCAGCAGGGAGCAAATTAATCAATTAGGTACCTCTAATTTTCCTCTTGGCCTCCGACCAGACGCAGAGCTGAACAGACCGAAGCTCTACGAGTAGAAGAAGAAGAAGAAGAAAAGAGAGTCGACCATCTTTTTTTGACCGTTCTCCTTTTTCAGCAGTTTGTGTCCCTGAAGTTTCCCCAGCCCCGTGGATATACGAGGCAATCTGTGCTGCCCCACATTAGCTGCTGCGTACCTATCCTCCAGCTCTCATCCAGGTCACGCTGCACCGCAGAGCGCGGCGCTGCTTCCAAGACTCACACGTCTGCTGCTGCTCAGGTGGAGGAAACCCTGCGGACGTGACAATGAGCCTGATAGTGTTTCAGGTCAGTTGAATCAGTCAGTGTCCCCAAAAAGAAAAAGATCTGAATCCACTTCTTAGCCTACGAGGAGGGAGTCTTTAAAGCAGCAGGTGTTACTTTAATAACTCATAAACCAGGATTTAAAGGGAGGAAGGTTACCCTTGATCCCAGCTACAGAATTATTTTCTGTATCTGAAACTTCTCTTTTTGTGTGGACGGACAATGAGGTGGGGTTGTTACTCCAAATGACCCTAGACCAGGGGTTCCCAAACTTAGCCATGCCAAGGACCCCCATATAGCATTCACCCCAGGCATCAACCTTCAGACCAAGAACTAAAGTCAAACTTTGTGTGTTCTGGCTCACAATGACAAGTTTTTGAAGCCAACATGTGGACATCTGGTTTTGGAACTCAGTCATGTTCAGGTTTTCTGGTGGATTATTTTTTAAAGGCTTTATATGCAGATGTCGCCCTTGAGCACCAGCCTGAAACCAAAACAACTTGCGATCCATTGTTGTGTTAGCATGCTAATGCTAACGATCTTTATTATGCTGGTATCTTCACACTGCATGTAAATTTACCTGAAATGAGCGTGATCTAGAAACACAGTTAAGCAGTGAGTACAGTATGTTATTCTTCTTGTCTCTAGTCCCTCAATTAAACAACTTTTATACACGAGGGGAGGAGTCAGCCGGCCGTCCCGGCGATGTAAACAAACTGAAGATAGGACTCTGAAAACATCACAGACAGTGGGACTCGGGTGTTACACCCATTGTAGACAGTCATGACTCACAGAGTTATTTCAGAGGAAATACTTGATTTACATTATATTTAAGTGTGAAAAATCACATATAAAGCCTTTAATCATGTTTCCTTATAACGAGGAGGCAGGTAGCTAGTTTTCAGTGGTGCAACAATCATCTAAAGAGACGGATTACAATTTATGTCACAAATATATATATATTTTTTTGTTCCATTTTAGTCCCTCTTTCCTCCCTAGTTTCCGCGACCCCCCCAGGAGGGTTCTGGACTCCCACTTTGAAAAACACTGCCCTAGACTACAAAAGCGAGTATTGCACCTTCTCATGCATGGCGGATGTCTGGAAGCATAATGCACCTGTGGGAAATGTCTCTGTTTTCAGAGGAGCTGCATACTGCCAGTGTTCCCAATGACGGAGTTGTCATTTTCAAACCCATTTTTCAAACTTTGCATTTCAGACATCGGAAACGAACACCCAAAACGTAAAAGAAGGTTCCCATCTTTGGCTGAAATCCTTATTGTGTAAGCAGGGCCTAAGCAAAGTCTTCCATAAATGGCAAATATCTTGTTTTCTCAACCAGGAAATTTGGAAGTCTTTTTTCGTCGTATTTTTGGGCTTTTTGTGGCTTTATTGGAGAAACAGGACAGTGAATGGAGTTGGAAATTGAGGCAAGAGAGAGAGAGCAGGAGAGGTGAATGACAAGCAGGAAAGGACTCAAACTACAAACTACAGCCTTTAGTACACGCAAACTAGCCACTTGGCCACCGGGTGCTCCTTCACTTTTAAAAGCTGTGGTAAAAACATCGCTTCACAAATCCAATGGCCCATTAAAAGCACATTTTGACGTTTAAATCTCTAAGCTGTGAGGTACTGAAAGCTCCTGCTTTATTGATCCTTTTGTGATTTGACCCGGCTCAACTTTAGAGCTAATGTGTGTTTGTGCTTTTAAGGGCCAATTTGAAAGCAGCTGACTTCTGCACACCTTTGGTTTCTTGCTCACTGTTCTTTTGCTTTAGAGGGAAAATGAGTCACCTCTTCATTTTCCTTCACCGGGTAAAGCTGTGGAGCAGAGAACATTGTAGACAGCTACAGCACCTCAGGTGAGGCCAATCAGGGATCAGGTAATCAGTCCCACAGGATGAACACGTTACCAACTAGAAGACATGAAGACAGACTCTCATTCAAATCCCACGACTTGATTCATTTCAAGTCTTTAGTCGTAAATCCCCAAAACCAAACATGCAAAACACAACAAACTGTTTCAAAATCCAGAAATCTTCCATCGTCATCTCAAGCTGTTTAATAGCAGAATAAAGCTGCTGCTGCTTTCAACAAACGCCGACTTTCCTAAAAGCAACTTGACTATTCTCAAAAAAAAGCGTTGTCAATCCATTTCTGTTTGAATTGATCCTGTCCTCTCTCCAGCCGAGAAGGAACTCGCTGCTGTTTTTCTTTTCCAGGATAAAACTCAGCATGACTTTGGTTTATTTATAGAAGTCAAAGTCTGGTGATATTTAATAAGAACTCTTTGAATATGCAGTTCAAATATCACAACCTTTAAGAAAACAGTGTTCATTGTTAAAGAGCTCCATGGCTGCCTGCCCCCCCTTAATCAATTAAATGTCTAAGCTTTTAAGCTCATTCCTCTTGATATCTGTGATATGCATAATAATGACCTCATTACCCAAAGCGTTGGCATTGTGTGCTCGGGAAATTGGATGCAAAATGCACTTTTATCATTCGTAATTTCTCCTTCAGAGCGGCGGAGGAGAAGAGGAAAGAAAAGGGTGAGAGGAGACTGGAAGGCAGCGAGCGAGAAACCAGACACTGTTTGGAAATAGAAACAGGTCTGAGTCATTCCAGGCGTCCAACCACATGTGGCGTCCATGGTCGACTGCACGGTGTATGAAACGTCGCTTTTGCTTTCTCTACACGAAAAACACGCCATCGACCTCGGTTTGACAAAAGAAAAAAAAAGGACAAAAAGTGACCTTTGTGGAAGGAGACATGATCAGGCCTTGGACGTGTTGTTTTTCACCCTACGCTGTTTCCTTCGACTCGTTTCAAGGTCTTTCTTCTCTCGGCCGTCAAGGTTCATCTATTAAAGGACGATTGTGCTGTTTTTTTTGATTACTGGATGTCTCGGGCTGCAGCAGAGCCTTGAAAACTGTATATATCAGAGGGCTTGGTTTGTTTTTTAAATTAGAATATATTCAGAAAATTCATGGTTGAAGCGCAAAGATACAAGCAAAAGGTGGATTTTTACTTTAAAGGAACGATATGTAACTCTGACACCTAGTGGTTAGTGTTTGATGACACTCTAGTCTTTGTTTCCACAGCAAGCGCCGCATTCTATTATCGATGTAGCCTGCTTAACGTAATTGGATTGACAGGGAAAGGAAGTCGGACAAGAAAACGCACACGTACTAGGCGGAAATTGGCAGGGTAGCACTGTATGGTTTTGGGCAAATTCTGACTTTACCGGACGTGCCACTGATTCTGAATTTCAGCCCCGATCGTGCGTTGGCGTCATTAGTCGTGCAGTGTACAGGGGTGCCACGACTGCCGAGCACAGTCCCCGATCAGCTGCCGGTCTGATGATTTTCTGGCATGTTTGGTATTTTCCTCGTATGACAGGATACTCTGTTTACTCTAAAGGACGACGTGATTGTAAAAACCTCACTTTGTTAAAGAACAGATGCATGAGTGGGATTCATGGAGTTTAGTGGCTTACTTAAAAAAAAAAAAGGTTCATCTTTAAATAATGCCAGCAATCTGTCTCAGTCGAACAAAGACCCTTTTATTCCTCCCCCCCCTTGTTTCCTTGTTTGAGAGAAAGCAGCATGTTGCTTTGTTTCTCACTCGCTAATCAAAGATCTTCACAATCCGTCTGTCAATCAAGCTCGTCTGATCTCCCTCGCTGAATGTTGATGCGCTTGTCTCAGTGTTTTCTCTGGCATTTCTGAAAATGCAGTAAAAAAAAACATTTCCTAACCTGAGTGTGTCTACATGACAAGCGACCATAACAAGCTGCTGAAATATTGATGGCATATTTCGTCACATTGTTTCTGTCAGTCTACACCGTTAGAAACCTACAGCCTTTCTTGAAATCATCAGGTGAACAGATTCTGACGAGCTTACTCACTGCTGAGGCTTTCTTCCCTCCATGAAACTTTAAGAACCAGGACTTCACAGTATGCCCTTACTTCAAAACATCAGCTTTAATCTTTAAACACATTTACTGAGAAAACACAACATGAGTGATTCACAAAGTGCTGACTAAAAATGTTATATTTTAGATTTTTTGCTTCAGTTTCGTTCTGTCAGTTGTCAGATTTTTAGATGCAAAAGATGTTTTGCTTTCGATTTAAAGGCTTTATATGGTGCAACTTGCGGTGCATTGTTGTGTTAGCATGCTAATGCTAGCGATCTTTATTATGCTGGTATCTTCACACTGCATGTAAATTTACCTGAAATGAGCGTGATCTAGAAACACAGTTAAGCAGTGAGTACAGTATGTTATTATTCTTTTCTCTAGTCCCTCAATTAAACAACTTTTATACACGAGGGGAGGAGTCAGCCGCCGTCCTGGCGATGTAAACAAACTAAAGATAGGACTCTGAAAACTCTGAAAGCCTCACAGACAGTGGGACTCGGGTGTTACACCCATTGTAGACAGTCATGACTCACAGAGTTATTTTCAGAGGATATACTTGATTTCTATTATATTTAAGAGTGAAAAATCACATATAAAGCCTTTAAGCGATATAAATTGATTTGTTTAAATCCATTTCATGTAAATGGTAATGGACTTTTCTAGTCTTCCAACTACTCAAAGCGCTTTTACACCACTTGTCACACCCACCCATTCACACCCTGATGGTAGTGATGATCGCTATGTAGTATCATCCATCAGAAGTAACTCATGCCATTCATACACCGGCACCAAGCAGCGGGAGCAATTCGAGGTTAAGTGTCTTGCCCAAGTACATCGGA